CTACCTCTCTTAACAACATCGGCCCGCTGTAGAACTCCCCTACGCACCGGTGCATCAGGAGGCCTCCGTTGGACATGTCCGAACCACCTCAGCCGATGTTGAACCAATTTTTCCTCAATTGGAGCTACCCCGACCCTATCTCGAATATCCTCATTTTGGATTTTATCCCTTCTTGTGTGCCCGCAAAACCAACGCAACATCCGCATCTCTGCTAAACTTAGTTGTTGGACATGTTGTCTTTTTGTAGGCCAACATTCAGCACCGTATAGCATCGCCGGGTGAATCGCCGTCCTATAGAACTTACCTTTTAGCCTTTGTGGCACCCTCTTATCACAGAGAACGCCCGAAGCTTGACGCCATTTCAACCAACCGGCTGCAATTCTATGCCTAAGATCTTCATCAATGCCGCCATCCTTTTGTAGCATCGATCCTAAATGCCAGAAAGTCTCCTTCTTGGCCACCACTTGCCCGTCAAGGCTAACGTCACCATCATCATGAGTAGCCATGCTGAAAGCGCACGTCATGTACTCGGTCTTCGTCCTACTAAGTCTGAAGCCTTTCGACTCTAACGTGTCCTTCCACAGCTCTAACTTCCTATTTACCCCTGCCCTACTCTCGTCAAGGTCGATAAAGACCATGTGCAAGTCCTTCTTTAAGTCCCTATATCTCTCCATCAACTGTCGTATTAGGAAAATCGTCTCCATGGTCGACCTTCCAGGCATAAACCCAAATTGATTTTGGGTCACACTCGTCACTCGTCATAGGCGATGCTCGATAACCCTCTCCTAGAGCTTCATCGTATGACTCATCAACTTAATCCCACGGTAGTTACCACAGCTTTGAACATCACCCTTGTTCTTAAAGATCGGTACTAAAGTACTTCTTCTCCATTCATCAGGCATCTTGTTTGAACACAAAGTATAGAAACATTATTTTCAAAATAATCTATAAAAAAATTGTGATAGTATGCGAGATTAATTGTTGAATGATTGTTTTGCAACCTAAACTTCTAATTTATTCAAATTCTTTGCTACATAAGATTTATGAAATTGTAGAATACTAAAACTTAATCTATTTTTTTCACCTCTAATGAGATACCACTTTAGCAACATGTAATTTTGACCATATAATTATCTACAAATTAATTAAAAATATCTCGAGAATCATGATATGCATACATGTTGAAAATTATTTTTTTTTATCAAAAAAATTATATTCGTATATTATCATTACTCATCTATCTATTAATATGTGTTATTATAACAAAATGGTTTTAAAAAAATGTACGAAATAAAACATTTATATATTTGAGTATAAATGAGAAGATTATAATTATATATAATATAATAAAAAGATATAAATTAATTTATATAAATAAGACATGACCCAAATAGTGCTATAGTTAATTTTATGTATTTTTTAACAAACCTAAAAGTTACACACACACACATATATAAAAAACATATGAAAGAACAATATAAAGTAAAAAAGTATTAAATATGATAAATAATATTAAATTTATAATAAAATTGTAACACTTACTAATAACTATGAAAAAAAGTAATAAATAAAAATATTATAATTAGTAAAAGTAATTATAGAACTTTTAGAATTTGTACTTATCGATGTAAACGAGTCAAATTGTTCACCGCATGTTAATTTTATTAGTTATGTATATAAATTTTAGATGATAGACAATAGTTATTTATACTTCTATCCATGTAGGTTAGTAATTATTTTTTTTAAAAATATTAATTATTTGGATTTTAACTAACGTTTTATTTGCTATTAATTTTTTTAATATAACATATAAATACCATATTATATATATACAATAATACTTTTCATTATTTAATATGTAAGTGCAATAAATGTAACCCAATTGATAAATTAATAGGTAATCTTGCGATAAAATAATGAGGATTTTTACAAACATTATATGGACAAAAAGGTTCACGTGTTTAATATTTTTTTTAATAGAAAAATTATAAATTCAATTAATTAATAAGGGCTAAACTAGCTCGGGTCTTAGCCTCACTAATTCACGTGTTTAAACTAGCTCGGGTCTTAGTCTCACTAATTCGATTGCATGATCGAACTCTCACGAATCCTAACACACGGTTTGAACAAACGTTCTTTTCTATTCAACTCATCAATTCTCGACCATTAAAACAGTGAGGGATGACCCCTATTTATAAATAGGGGTATCCCCTCATTAGACTTAGTCACAACGGTCGCGGTGATGAAGGATCGTGTGCTTTGTTCCACTCGTTTGCCTCGAACACAGCCTCGCCACGACTTGCTCTCGACGGATAGGTGTGATCGACTCGGTTATTAGCCTAACTCTCTCACGATACTTGAGTTCACTTGGTAATTAGCCTCGCTCCCTCGATTTTGAACTAGCTCGGGTCTTAGCCTCACTAATTCTATTGCATGATCGAACTCTCACGAATCCTAACACACGGTTTGAACAAACGTTCTTTTCTATTCAACTCATCAATTCCAAGACATTCAAAACAATGAGGGGATACCCCTATTTATAGATCCTAACTATGACTAAGTCTAATCTTACTAGGCAACTATTTAAAGCAATAAAATATTAATTCCTAAACAATCTAGATCTACTAATGCAATAAGGAAAGTAAATATTCTAGAGCGTTAATTACTAAGTCTTCAAAACTCTTTGCTTTGCTTGCACTCCAAGTTTGGCCGACCCTAAGTCTAACCGCCCTTGTCGCGCGCGCCGCCCTCGGTCGCCTACTCCTTATCGCGTGCGGTAACACGCGCGCATGCCTTCTCCTTGTCGCGCGCGGTATCGCGAGCCGTGTCCCGCACACATGCGCCCGCCGCCTCTGCTTCTCCTACTCCTATACGGCAAGGATCGTCCGCATCGCACGCGCGCGCCCTTGCGCGCTGATGAAGGATCGTGTGTTTTGTTCCACTTTCTTGTCTCGAACACAGCCTCGCCACGACTTGCTCTCGACGGATAGGTGTGATCGACTCGGTTACTAGCCTAACTCTCTCACGATACTTGAGTTCACTCGGTAATTAGCCTTGCTCCCTCGATTTTGAACTAGCTCGGGTCTTAGCCTCACTAATTCGATTGCATGATCGAACTCTCACGAATTCTAACACACGATTTGAACAAACATTCCTTTTCTATTCATTCATCCATTCCAAGACATTCAAAACAATGAGGGGATACCCCTATTTATAGGTGCATAAAATAAATCTAAGCCTATCTAAACTAGATCTCCTAATTCTATAATGAAAAGCAACATGGTAATAAAATCCTAATACTACTATAATTATTCTTGCTTGACTTGCACTCCACTTTTCTTGAACTCCAAGTC